AGTCCAGCACACTATCCACTTAGCCAGAGCCGCCCCTGCATTATCATTAAGAGAGACACAAAACATTTTGTGGAGCAGGGTTTTGTACATGATCTGTTTGGTTTTGATTGGGGAAAAATCGATCTGTGTGATGATGTTGAAACTGCATGGTCTTATCTTGGTTTTATGGAAATTATTGATAGACATGCACCCCTGCGTAAATTTAGAGTGAAGGGACGAGACAATCCTTGGTTTTCTGCTGAAGAATTGGGAGGGATGAAACCCTCTTTAATGGTCACACATGCAGAGCACACAGCACACACAGTGAAATGTGTTCTCTGCTTTTAACCCATCCTAGTACCAGGAGTCTAGTACTAGGAGCAGTGGGCAGCTATTGTACAGCGTCCGGGGAGCAATGGGAGTGAGGGGGGAAGGGGGTTGTCCGGTGTCTTGCTCAAGGGTACCACGTGAACTGTCTAGTCTCCTACATGAGAGAAACAAGGCCTGGGCAAAGGCTAGGCAATCAGGCTCAGAGGTAGAATGGCTTCGTTTTAGGCAGCTAAGAAATAGCTTCACATCTCAAATCAAAAGTGCTAAGTCTAAGTATTATCCGTCAGTTACCACAAAAAACCTGAATAATCCTAGAACATTTTGGAAAACCATTAAATCGATATCCACCGGTGAAATCCGTAATGTGCATTACCACAGCATCTGGCACTATATCGGACAGGGCTACTATGTAAATTGTTTTAATGAGTATTTTGTGTCCTGTGGCTCTCTGTTTGATTCTGTCACTAACTCTGCTTCTGTGAACACCCCAATCCGTGACTCTGAACAATGTGGTTTGGAAAACCCCTTCAGTTTTTCTCCTTTTACTATTGATGTTGTTCGTGAAGCCTTAACCAAGTTAGATCCTAAGAAACTGGCTGGTCCAGACAACGTAGAACCTTTCTTTTTAAAGATACCTGCAGATTGTATTGCACCACCTCTTACTTCTCTTTTTAACCTCTCCCTCAGCACGAAGACAAGTCCAAAAGTATGGAAGTCAGCTTATGTCTTGCCTTTACTAAAAGCTGGGGAGGCCACTTTATTAAATAATTATAGGCCCATCTCTAAATTGTCAGTTCTGGCTAAGGTTCTTGAAAGCCTAGTGAGTGAGCAGGTAAAGGAGTTTTTATGTAAAAATGACCTCCTATGTAAACATCAGTCAGGCTTCAGAAAGAAACATAGCACCATCACTGCAACAATGAAAGTGGTGAATGATGTGGCGGGTATCTTAGACAAAAAGCAGAGTTGTGCAGCTCTGTTTATTGATCTTTCCAAAGCTTTTGATTCCGTCGATCATCATATCTTGAAGCAGAGGCTACTCAGTATTGGCATATCCAGCCATGCAGTGGGGTGGTTTGTGAACTACCTCTCTGAAAGGTCCCAATGTGTTCACTTTGATGGGCTGTCTTCTGAGTGGTTAAACATTACTAATGGTGTTCCCCAAGGTTCTGTTTTAGGTCCTCTTTTATTCTCCATATATATCAACAGCTTAGGTCAAAATGGGGATGAAGCTACTTTACATTTTTATGCGGATGATACCGTGATGTACTGTGCAGGTCCCTCCATTAAGGAGGCGGTTGTTGAATTGCAGGCTGTTTTTAATATTAGTCAGACTCAGCTCTCTGAACTTAAGCTTCTTTTAAATGTTGATAAAACCAAGGTAATGCTCTTTTCAAAAGCTAAAAAGACACCAGAGCCTGTTTTGGATATTGCTACTACGCAAGGACAAGTACTTGAAGTGGTTGCCTGTTATAAATACCTACTGTAGGTATCTGGCTTGATGATTGTCTCTCTTTTAAACTTCAGGTCAATAACCTGCTTAAAAAGCTGAGGGTTAGGCTAGGTTTATTTTTCAGAAACAAGTCCTGTTTCTCTTTTGAAGCCAGGAAAATGCTAGTCTCTGTGACCTTTTTACCTGTGCTGGACTATGGTGATTTGTTGTATAGGAATGCACCTGCCCATTACCTGAACAAGTTAGATGCTGCCTATCACAGTGCACTGAGATTTGTTACTAATTGTAAAGCACTTACTCATCACTGTACCCTGTATGCAAGGGCAGGTCTGCCATCACTTACTGTACGGAGGCTCAGTCATTGGTACACGTTCATCTATAAAGCCATGTTGGGTAAACTACCATCTTATATCTGCTCTCTGATCTCACAGAGAGTCGCAGGTAGCTATTGCCTGAGATCACATGATGTGGTCTTGTTACATGTGCCAAGTGCAAGGACTGACTTAGGTACGAAAGCTTTTATGTGCGCAGCTCCTCTTGCTTGGAACAGTCTTCAAAGATAATTGAAACTGAGCAATTTGGTTCCACTGCATGTTGTTAAAGCTCGGATAGGTGAAATGCTCTTTGATACTGTTGGTACTTGTAAATGTCTATAGGTATGTAAATGTAGCCCTGTAAATATGATGTATGATGTCCTTTATTGTTTTATGTTGTTTTATGTTTCATGTGTAACCTACTTGCTGCAGGTCTCCCTTGAAAAAGAGATCAATGATCTCATTGGGACCAATCTGGTTAAATAAAGGTTTGAAATGAAATGAAAATGTTGAATTATTCCTTTAATGAATTTATTTCAACTTGGGTCTCATTATTCAATTTGTTCAAGGTTAGAATGATCGATTAAACTAGCCAACAGTTCAACCAGTATATCCTAAAGTTGGCACACCTGAAATGTGCGTACAAAATCTGTTATTTAACAATAAAACTGTGCGAGCAGAACTATGTCAAATAATGTGAAAATGTAAAACTGTGATAGATGTTTATAATGGCAGGTTTGGGTCATAATTGACTTTTGTCCTTCATTTGTTCTTTAAAAAGTTGGATTTAACATGGATTTAGTTTCAAACCTGTCGGATTTTCTGACTCCTGAAGGCGTCCAATAGTATAAGAATAGTTCCTGAGTCACATAATTATACAGTAAATCACTGTGAATATAACTCCACCTCACACTTTTACCACTGCCATATGTCATATGTCATTTCAAAGCCAAAAATGCATGAAACTGTGCAAACACAGGGTGGAATTACAGATGTGACCCTGCAGCGCTCTTATTCATATTTAATGAGAGAGCAGGGCTCGGGAGGACTTTTATTTTCCGTGGAGGAGGCTGCAAACTAATCAATAAGTCATATAAGGAAGATTTACAGGGATCCACTCAAATGCCCAGGAGGGCTTTGAACCTATCGTTGTGTGTGTGTGTGTGTGTGTGTGTGTGTGTGTGTGTGTGTGTGTGTGTGTGTGTGTGTGTGTGTGTGTGTGTGTGTGTGTGTGTGTGTCTGTCTGTCTGTCTGTCTGTCTGTCTGTCTGTCTGTCTGTCTGTCTGTCTGTCTGTCTGTCTGTCTGTCTGTCTGTCTGTCTGATGCTTGATGGACAGAAACACAAATCCATAATTCAAAGTAAATAGGGGAATGTTTTAAGGCGAAAAATGTTCATCACAGGTTAATAAAGTCACAGTTGATGTCTTTGAATGTCTTGTTTTGTCACCCCAAAACTCGTTTAAGAGAAAATGGAAAATCTCAAACTTTGATAGTCTATAAATGGATTCTGTATCTTACCGTCCTCACACCGGCTGTACCCCTTCATTTCAGAATGATTTAAAAGTTGTATTGATCAAATTTAAGCTCGCTATCAAGATCTATCGCAGAACTTTTATCCAAACACCAGGAACAAGATGGCAGCTTTAGGTCTTCAAGCAAAAGTGATTCAAAATAAGAGTTGAATTTGAAATAACAGGCTTGAAGGAAGCTTGAACTCGACTGAATCTGTACCATACAGTATGTCCAACCTTAAACCTCTTTTTATATGGACCTGCTTTTATGAAATTAGGAATCTCTTTTACAACTACAACCAGGCCAGGACAGTAGCAAAAAACGTTGCACACAACAACAAGAAAACATAGAAGAACTACACTAATATACCCAGTGACAGTGATGGATTCACCATTTTGCTGATAAGAGCTTAAAAGTCAGGCAGACAGACAAATCCACTGAGTTTCAAGTCTTTTTGAAGTTTCTTTCCCACTTCACTCAGTGCATTAGGAACAGACACCTTGACTAATTCATGCATGCGGACAAAGACCTCAACACAACCTGCGAACGAGTGTATCGTCTGCATGGGTCTGATGTTGAGCTGTTGTTCTCTGTTACATTATGATTTATAAATGTGCTCAGTTTAAACGTGCCACTGCGTCACTTGAGAGCTCAACACATAAATCATCTAGCAGATTAGTTATGTGCATGTTTTAAAAATGATGATAAAATGCTGGGGATCAGTAATGTACGCTTGGGATCCATCTTCAAACTGGAGAACAGTCGTCTCATACCTTTATATTTAAATGATAGTATACTAACGTGGTAGAAAGGTCTCTTAATACCTCTGCCAAGGAGGTCAATTTGTTTTGTTTAGCTGTCAGCAGCATTACAAGGAAACTAAAAGCCCGATTTTCATGAAACTTGGTGAAAGGGTGTGATTATGTGCCAAACATGAACTCGTGAAAAGTTGGAGCATATCCAAATCCTGGGGCTGGAGTCCATAGTATGGAATAAAGCACCCTTTTTACTGACTTAGTAAAGCATAATTCTCTCTTATTAAAAAATGTAAGATTCAAAGTCTTCATTGTTACACGCAACAAAAGCTAACGTGTATTGTTGGCAGTGAATATCTTAGGTGCCAGGCTCCTCCAACAACGCGATATTAACACGTAAAGGATAAAACAATGGAAAATAGTGCAAGAGAAAATTGAAAAATAAATTGTGCAAAAGAATGTTGGAAGGGACTTATGTGCAAGTTAATGCAGGAATAAGTAACCTAAAAACAGGATGTAAAATGAAATAGTGTACAGTGGATTCAAATGCTGCTTATTGTGAAGATAATTGAATATGTGAGCTGTAAACAGATGTATGCCATAAACATCTGAAGGTGAAAGCACACACAGTATAATCAGAATCACATTTTAAAGCTTTACCTAGTGATTGTCCTGCGATGACCCTGGAGTTCTCCCCGGTTACGGCCGCCCTGGCGTTCCTCTCGCTGGCGTACTGGACGAAGGCGTAGCCCTTGTGCACGGAGCAGCCCACGATCTTGCCGTATTTGGCGAAGATGGCCTCGATGTCGCCCTTGGTCACTACGGCCGTGTTCAGGTTGCCGATAAAGCAGCGGGAGTTGAGTGAGCGCGGGTCATTCTTGTTGGTCACGTTGCTGGTCTGGGTCTTCCCAGTCATCCTAGTCCTGCAGCAATGCCTGCTGGGAAACACAGGTGCACACTGCTCAGAGGAGGAAGGTTAGACTGTGGAGGTTACACACAGAGAGCAGCATCTGGTCAGAGCAGAAAGCATGTGGTAAATCTCGTATTAGGCTTTGTTTTCTCTTTCATGTTCTATAGGTCTTTGTAAATGGTCTGCAAAGGCTGAAAGTTCCCTCATAGGGGAATAAGATTGCCATTAAAAATGCACATTTGAGAAGAAAGCACATTGAATAAAGGACATTTTCTATATAGGAAAATAGGAAGAAAACCTGCTGATTATTTAATGGTTGAAATGATTGAAAGAAATGTCCATTATTTGTTAACAGCTGATTACTTAATTGACCATCGGCTACACAATATTCTCCAGCTGTATTCTACATCCTGAGGTCATATATGTGTAATCAAAGAGGCTGAGACAGAAATCTTTCTGCAGGAGGCGAGAAGAAATCTGACAGGGCAGCTGTGATTCAAACGTGTTAATTGACAAATCTCATCTAAGAACTGTGTTCCCACGATTGAAAATAGCACATGAAGTCACTAGAGTCCTTTCTCACAGTTTCACCACTTTCTTAACTCTACTTTTTCCATTTCATGCTATACCAACAGCTGAAGTTTCTTTACAGGTTAGGATTTTACATACCAAAAAAATGTATGATGATTAAAAATGGCACATTGTTAAAAATGCAACCTGTGATCTTATTTTACAACCTTCTTAATAACCCATTATTCACCATAGCAAAATGATAAACCTTCTTGGCAACCAACCTGATTCTAAAAACGTTCAATGATCATTTGTATAACAAACACACACAAGGACAGCTTCATTACTGTCACATAGAAACCAGGTCACATAAAATACAAATAAATGACACAGGCATCACTGTTTGTTCCCATAATGCAACAGTCCTCAGGGGGATCAGGATGTGGCTTCTTGGAGTTCCCCGTTGGTAATGAGTTTTCAGTGTGTTTGTGTATCTTCCCACAATGAGGCTTTTAGATCCAGAATCCACATACTGTACAAACAATATTATCCCGGGAGAAGCTCTCTTTAGGCTGGAAGAGCAGGAGAAATGGAGAGAAACTCGTAAATGTTGCATTTGCAGACCATTTACAAGCAAAAAAAACCTTTATAACAGGAAAGGGAAAACTAAAAGGGCGCCTTTAATGTTCGCCCTACTATCTCAACGGATTGAGTGATGCAGATCTTTTTAGTTCATCTGTTTATTATTTATCTCGGATAACTGATTAATTGTTTTGTCAGTAATATATATATATATTCAGTCTTTAATAATGAATAAAGAAAGCAGCAAATACCCGTCATTAAAAAGCTTGAATACATTCGCAGTTTATTTGCTTTTGTAAAAAATCACTGGAACAGTAATTTGATGATCTGATTTACTTTCCAATTCATTTGTAATTAGACTGTTTAATTGACAAATAATATAATATTTTCTGGCTTCCTCCCATGATCCAAAGCGATGCAGCGCAGGAGAACGGCAGACGTGTGAGTGTGTTTTTATCTGAAAATGTTTTATGGCTCCAGCAAAACCCTGTCAGGGGCCTGAATACAAATGAGTTAGTATGGGGAAAGGACGGAAAAGATGTAATGATATGTATGGGTATTTTTCTAAAAATGTATCTCACACATCCTCACACACATTTCAGTAACACACTGCAGTCGACACACTTCCTGTCCCAATTTTCCTCATTGTACCTTTTAACTTCTTTTCTAACCCACATCATCTTTTCTAAATCTCTTTAAATCTCACAAAATGAAGGATAATTTACTTTTGGACTCATAATGTGACAATGCCGCCATTGGGTTTCCTGTAGTTGATTAACTTAATTATCAACAGAGTGGGAGGTCCAATCAAATCCCATTCAGTCTGTCTCTACCTTTGAATGAACCCCACAGCTCCTGAGTGACTGATGGATGTGAAGTGTGCACTCAATAGACTCTTTTAAAGCAGAAGCACAGGGGTGAGGCCATTAGAAGGTAGATTAGGGAAGCAAAAGCACATTTTTAAGCAGATTTAATATCAGAAAGTGTAGTTTCACTCATTTAAGCGCATGCTGAGCTAGGAAATAGTGCCAAATGAAAGCATCGGATTTTTGCTCACAAGTTGAAATGTTTGAAAGAACAGCGTTTGGTTGGAAATGCTGAGTAGTTAGGAAGAAGTGAATAAAATATGATTAGGCTATTCAAATATTCATATTGAAATAGTTGAAATCAGAGAAATGTAGCGTCAGAGTGTGGGCGTAAAACAAGCAGATAGACGCCCTTATACAATCATCTATTATATTAACACTATATAAAAAACATTCAGTTAAATAAAAAACTTGTTACGGTATTATTTATTTAGAGTTTAAAACTCATAAAAGTGCTGTGTGTCTGTTGTGTGATCAGATTTAAGTACAGAAATCAGTCATGTGAAATAAACACAATTATAGAGTAAGTATAAAGCTACTGCAAACAGCCAGCTTAGCTTAGCTTAGCTTAGCTTAGCTTAGCATTGAGGCTTGAAGCAGAGGGAAACTGCCAGCCTGGTCCCGCAAAAGTGTATTTTGCAACTTGGTCTCCTCTCAAAGGATGCATAGAAACTTTGTGTTTGATTAATAAGCCTTTTCTTGCACCAGCACATCACTCCAGAGCACTTCTTTTAGTGCTCTCTGGACTGTGCATATCTAACTGTGAATATGTGTATCTATACAACAAAAACGCATATGCATGTGTGGACAATCATAACTGTGTATATTTGTATGTATAACAATAAAATGCATGTGCATCTATATAAAAAAACAGAGTGGAAAACTCGAGGAATCAATAAAGATTAATCTTCTTCTTTATCAAAATGAAAGCTCTAAGACGCATTAGAGGATAACTTATAGTCTTAATCAGTCGTATATGTCCTGCACGTTGTTGTTTCTTAAATCATGTAGTGCCTATTATATCTATTGTATATTCCTACCTATTTAGATAGATGACAACATCTAATTCAAGTTTATTTGACAAAAATAACATTGCTCTTTTCACAACATGCCGGTAGATCCAGTTTGCCTGTTTTGTAATGGCTTATTAATTATAATGGGTTTTACTGAACAACAACCATTGCATAGCCTGATGGACACTACCTCCAGACTGTTACCCTCACTGATCTCCTGCAGCTGGTATAACATTAAATCTACAGGCAATCTTTATTTGCATAAGCCGCTTATCATCTCTATGTCTCCACATGCATCACCTAACATTAACACTCCAGAGATACTACAGCACTAGTTTGTCAATTACATGTTTTCAATAAAATGACAATAAAGAGTTTTACATTATTCCTCTAGCTCAAAATAGCAAGAAACAAGACTTCAAAAGACGATTCTTTTACAATATTCATGAGTATCCAAGATCCTCAAAGTCTTTTAAGAGGAACATGTGGAATAACTGCTGGCACAAGCTGGTGGAAACATCCCAGGCCAAAAAACACACTCACTCTGAATTCATATCAGCCTGATAGGCAAGAGAGGAGAGAGTAGTTTGGATTCATCCTGGCATGCTTCATGCTCCAGAAATTAATGCTAAATAACATCTTCATGCATCAGTGAAGCAGTGAACGCATCCCCAACTCATAACTGACATGTTTTTCCACGCAAAGACGTGTTGTTTGTCTGGTGAAAGTATTTCTTATAGCAGCAAAGTGAGTGCTTGACAGTGATGTTTTTTCTTTGGGGCTTCTACAGCATCCTCCCGTGTTGCGGAGGTTCCAAGCATTTCATGGATCCTCTTTGGTCCTTTCACACCGACTGTCAGGGGCTTCAGAGTCTGAATTCTCTGGAGATAAAGAGGCGAGGAACTGGTGAAAGTAATCATTTTAGCACTTCCTGTCTCCCTGATCTCTCCTCACTGACTCACGCTCCCTCCCGTCAGAGAAGAAAAAGATGAAACCTCCGCCTTCAATCTGACAAATACATATGGGATGTGATGGATGCATTCAGGCCACACTCACTCTCCGCCGCTTGAATGTTGCAATGCAGCATTTTATCTCAACAGCGTAGCATCTCACCTCAACTGTCGCCAACAGAGGAAAATAAGTTGTATTTAATCGTGTCACCTTCTGCTATCAGGCTCGGGAGACAGACGACTCTTAAACTAACTCTCAACTTTTAGTGACTCCCTGGAAAAATATATATGTCTGCATGCAGAGAATGAAATATGGGTCTATAATAAGCCTGTTTTTATTCTTTTTCCCTCAATCTTTTTTGAATGACAGCCAAACGTATTACAAGGGAATAAATGTGGACTGAAATCTAATTACATTTTTATACAGTCTACATTTACGAACTACGCTGCAGTGCAGGTACGGGTTATTTTCCCTCTGTCTACTGTTGTGAGAACACATGCAGCATAAAATGTGGGGATTTATCAAAATGATGCTGTGAATAATATAAAAGCGGAAAATAGTGGTAAAATCACTCAATAACAGATCCGCTGGGAAATGTTATAGCCAGGAAAATGATTGTGGGTGACCTGACTGCTGCAATTTACCATTTGTCAGATGTAGGTAAAGAAAGAACAAAAGTGGAACTGAAACACAAAGACAAAATAAGATGTATATATACCCTTATATCATATATAATAATAACCTTTCAGCATATTGTAATTCAAGTGGTGACTAAAGATATGCAGTTTTCTGGAAGAGGCAAAAATACATTTAAAATTAAACCCTCATCCTGCGGCTTCCCCTCCGCTACACACCTCCCACAAGGTGAGCAAAAGCACACTCTGCATACAGTATTCTGCAACTAGTTACTTATTTTAAACGTCATCCCAATAGTGATAGAAATCCCAATGCTCTTGTTGAAAATAACTCCCTGTTATTGTTGCAAACGTTGCGGCCTGTAAAGCCTTTTGGGGATACATGTTGTAACTCAAGTCTCAAGCTAGCTACAACATCAAAGAAGTGTTTCACAGATGGAGAGAAAATGTTGCTAATGGTTTAGCCTA